ATTCTTGTTCTTAGAAATGAAGGCTATTGCATGCGAGAAATTGCTAAGAAATTGAAGATTTCCTACAACGGTGTGTACTACTCCCTTCAGAGGACAGCACAAACAGGCTCTAACAGAGTAGAAAAAGAAGTGGGAGGCCGCGTTGCACAACTGAGCAAGAAGATAAGTACATTAGAGTCTCTAGTTTGAGATACAGACGCCTCACAGGTCCCCAACTGGCATCTTCATTAAATAGTACCCGCAGTAGCCTGTTTGTGCTGTCCTCTGAAGGGAGCAGTACACACCGTTGTAGGAAATCTTCAATTTCTTAGCAATTTCTCGCACGGAATAGCCTTCATTTCTAAGAACAAGAATAGACTGTCGAGTTTCAGATTAAAGTTCCCCTTTTCTTGCCATTTTGAGCGTTTAATTGACCCCACAAATGTGATTGCACAAGGGTTTTCTAATCATCAGTTAGCCTTCTCAGCCAATGAGCAAACACATTGTACCATTAGAACACTGGAGTGATAGTTGCTGGAAATGGGCCTCTATACACCTATGTAGATATTGCACCAAAAACCAGATATTTGCAGCGAGATTTACCACATTAGCAATGTATAGAGTGTATTTCTTTAAAGTTTAGACTAGTTTAAAGTTATCTTCATTGAAAAGTACAGTGCTTTTCCTTCAAAAATAAGGACATTTTAATGTGACCCCAAACTTTTAAACGGTAGTGTACATTAAGTGTAAATTACTCATGGCGTCTAGCTTATCGAAAACCTAAGTAACTTATACATTACTTTTTTTGGCACGCCATAAATAGCAGCCAGGTTAAGGCGGCATCACTGCCCCCCTGAGGACACTGGCTTGTGCATCATTTCATGGGCATTACGCTGCCATGCATTATGCATAAGTTAGGCTGTCATTCGGCTTAAGTTCTGAACTCGTTATAATTACTCTATGTATACGCCCAAACTTGAAAAAATACATAGAAAGCTCAGTTTATTCCAGCATTTTAGAAGATTCTGGAACGTCAGGCATAGGCTGGATAAATTATCAAGGTGTGACACGGCCCTAACGAACATCCGTCCTGTTAAAACGTTCTGTCTCCGTCCTCCAGGTGTTCTCATGTCCATCGTGTCGCAGCGTGTTCTGTGTGGAGTGCGATCTCTTCATCCACGAGTCGCTACACTGCTGTCCCTGCTGCATTCACAGCCGGACCGCCACATGAGGCCCGGTTCTTCCTCGCTTCCTAATGAGACTGTTGGCAGTAGACGGTTGTTGACATTCTGCCTTTGGGTTTAAATCTGGTCTGAAGCACCGAGTGCCGGAGGTGGATTTTAAATCCATCATCTGAAGCCAGATTTTAAGAATCCAGTTTTGCTTAATAAAAGATTTTTTTCTATCGTTTTTTAACTTTGACTCATTCATGATTCTGTTTATTTTGAAGTGATGCTGCAGGATTTATTTACAGAAGTTCCTCCTGCGGTTCTGGCTCAGCTAACAGTCTATGAAGACAGATTTAGCTTTCTTGAACATTTTGATATTATTAAAGAATAACAGCCCAGCATGAATAAACATCAAGGAACCACAGATCCAGCAGAACATGGTGCCTGAAGGTTCCTGGTGTCCCGTCGGATCAGTTTAGGGCCTAAACTGGTTCAGGTTTTAACGTTGGATGTGAAAAACTCTCAGCTCCAGAGATGGGAAGTAACGAAGTACTCAAGTAGATTTTTATGATATTTTTACTTTACTACTTATTTTTATGGCGACTTTTTACCTCTACTCCTTACATTATTACACAAATATCTGTACTTTCTATTCCTTACATTTTAAAAAATTGGCTCGTTACTTTAGATTTGAATCATTTCAATGGAGTTACCGTTATTATTTTTCACGTCATCAATACCAAATTCAATCTAATTGGATGGGAATCTACGTTGCATTTGACGCACCACTACAAGATGAATCGACAGATTCGGCGGTATTCATTGGCGGCAAATCATTGCAGCTTGGTGGCGGTGGCGTTAGCATAGTAGCATGGACGACGAGATGATTGAAAATGAACACAACGGAGATCTAGTCCTATTGGCAGACATCCATTTAAAATGTAGGCAACGGCATGAAAAAAGTGGTTTCTACTTTTACTTTTATAGTTTAAGGAAATTTACAAGCCTGTACTTTGTTACTTTTACTTGAGTAAAGAAGTTTAATCAGTACTTCCACTTTTACCAGAGTATTTTTTAACACAAGTATCTGTACTTTTACTCAAGTACGGAAAGTGAGTACTTTTGCCATCTCTGCTCAGCTCTAATATAGAAATGATCCACGTCACGTTTTAACATCTTTATTTAAACAAACTGAAGCCAGAAGTTTTCAGAAGCCAGGCGCCCTAAATCAATCTGAAATATGCATCCAGTCTCTCCTGGAGGAGCATGAACTAAAAAAAATTAATGGAGCATCTGCTGGATCTATTTCAGCATTTAGTGATTAAAAATTATTGTTTCATGTCTTATATTTTGTAGATATTTCATAAAGTGTGCATTTTCTGTTAGCATGTAAGTTGGGGAAACAGAATATTTAAAGGAATATAAATTTAATACACTGCATTGGCTTACCCAGTATCTCTAGATGCAGATTTTAAACCCCATGGAGCTCACTGTAAGACTGCCTTTGGTATCTGAGGGTTGCAGGGTCGAACCCTGTAAAGTCAGCTGTTTGCTAAATCCTTTTCATTCATTTTGAAGCAACAAAACAGCTTTAGAGTCAAGTTGATTACGTTGAAATAAGTTGTCTTTAAATTAACACAACATAGGTTTCAGTCAAACCAGCAGGGTTGTGTGCAACTAATGTACACTAAAAAAACAAAACTTTTTTTTCGGTGTGTAGAGACAGTAGACGTCCGCTTTCATTGTGTTGTTCACTTCAGCAATTCCTCCAACCGAGGATGCATGCGGTGAGTTTTGGAGAGGAAAACTCCCTTTACAGGAAGAAACCTCCAGCAGAACTGGGCTCGGTGCACTGGGAAAAAAACTAAATATTTTATATATATATATTTGTTCTTGAATTAAGGAAGTAAGGGAGACACTTTGCCAATGAAACAAGACAATTTACATTTGAAATAAGAAGAAACAATTGCTTTGTCTTATTTCAAGTGCAAAATGTCTATTTTATTTTAGTATAAAAAATACTATTTCCATTGGTTCCGTTCTTATGTACCTACTCAAGGTAAATACACTTAATTTAAGAAATGTTTACTAATTTCTAGAACGTTTTTGCAGTGAGTGAGCGTCCATCTGCTGAGGTTGACGGGATCAAGCAGACTGCAGTCTTCACTCATCGTATGAAACATCCAAAAGGAGGATAATGCAACAAACTTATGTTTGAACCCATGATATAACAGTTATGAATTATTATATAGCGCTAAAAAGCCTTTTTACTTCATGTTTTAAAGGCAGAACAGAAACACGGAGAGCAAACTGACAAGACATGTTCAGTGTTTTCAGGTTAATCTAATATGACTAAGCAGAATTAGTTAAATTTCTACTTAAAATACGAGAGAGAATGAAGTTTGCAAAAATCTGACTTAAAATCTTTTGGGAATTGAAATTTATGTTTTACTTCCAGGCATAAACTTGTATTCAGTTGTCATCAGATTTGGTGTGCTTTGTGTTCTATGTGTGATTATTATCGACATCCTCTGAATTTTTTTTAAAGGAGACAAAAAGTAGTTTTATAATTTGCAATATTCTGACATTTTATTCAAACAAAGTAACCCCACTAATGTATTTTATCACCATAGAACACCTTGTAGATTCCAAAAACTTTATTTAAGTGGATAAAATACGAAGTGGTATTAGGGCCATTTAAAGACAAAAAAAGAAATGCAATTTAAATTTTTGAATGTATTCGTAAATATACCAGTTTATAATCAAAAATGTAAATTTCATTTCGTTTTATCTATGAATTGCCCTAAAACGTTTTCATAGATATACTTTTTTTTAATTGTTGAAGTTTTTATCAAACTATAAAATGTTTGCAAAAAAATCACTCAATATTTTTTTATGAAAATCAAAGGCGTCCAAAGTATTAATGTTTATTACTTAAATAGAAGTAGAAATCCTATTGTTTAAAACCCCTTTTGAAGAAGTTAGAGGATCAACTTCACCTTTTACTAAAGTAAAAGTGTAAAAGTACAATTTTTAAAACTACCTGAAGTATAAAAGTAAAAGTAATGCAGGATAAAATCTTAAGGACAGAAGCTTTACTACTCTAGCCTATGAAAGGACCATTTTTCTAAAATTCTGGATGATAACTACATTAGACTTAATGTTCATAGTTTTATAACTAATGGTAAAAGTGTCACATTTAACTTTGCTTCATCTTAAAAAACTTTATTTTGGTTTGTGATGAACAACAGGTTGGGGCAGCACCGAGTCCAACCACAAAGAAATTAATTGTCTGGCTGAAACTAATTATTTTGATGTTTTGGTGTTTTTTTTATTTTTTAAATACCAACAGGCCATACTGAAAATGAGCTTAAATGACACAAAACTAAAGAGTAGGGATAATTGCAAAAAACGTCAGAAGTAGAAGTAAAAAGTTGTCTAAAAAGAATTACTTGAAGTATACATAGCCAAAATTTCTTATTAAATAAGTAAAAGTATTTGTTCTTTGTTACTTGACACCTCTGACAAAAATACTCTACTTCCTAAATATCTTCCAACTCAGGACTGTTGATCCAAAACTTTCTTCAATGTCCTCCAAAGGGATCCCTAGGCTACATCCACACAAATATTTCTTTATTTTATGGTAGTTTCTTCAAATTAGGCCTACATCCAATTAGAATGTAATTTAGGCATTAAATATCACTAAGAATTTAGGGTCCATTATTTTGTGGGGAGATAAAAATGCCTTTTTAGGTTAGAAATGTATTTTTACATTAAATAAAGACCACATATGTCCAGCAGGGGGCAGTGCATGAATAGGCGGGATTGATGACCGAAGAGTAGATTGCTGTTTCCGGTTCCGCTGTCTCATTTATTGGCGGGAAGCGGTGCTTGTTGTCAGCAGCCTTGGGAGGAACCGGAGGCTAAGTGGACCATGACCCGGGTTCTGAACGGAATAGTGGCGGTGTGCCCGAACCTGGGCATCGGGAAGGACGGGAAGCTGCCCTGGCATCCGGTTCGGCTCAGGTCGGTTAGCTTAGCTGCTCTGTTAGCAGCATCAGCGGAATGCGAAGGAAAACGCGCCTCATTAATGTCTGATCTTTACTTTTCAGCAACGAATTCGCTCATTTCCGGAAGATGACCTCCACACCGTCAGTAGCAGGTAACTGGATCCGCAGACCCGGTCCGAGTGGTTCTGCCACAGAGTTGGATCTTCCTCTGGAAAAACCCAGCTGGTGAATAATGATGGAGGCTCTGACTGAAAGTCTGCTTCTGCAGGGCGGCAGAATGTGGTGATCATGGGCAGGAAGACCTGGTTCTCAATCCCGGAGAAGAACAGACCCCTGAAGGACCGGATCAACATTGTTCTCAGCAGGGAGTACAAGTAAGACACACAGGGAGCATGGAGCCTTCAGATTAGGAGAGCAGGGAGCCTTCAGATTAGGAGAGCAGGGAGCCTTCAGATTAGGAGAGCAGGGAGCCTTCAGATTAGGAGAGCAGGGAGCCTTCAGATTAGGAGAGCAGGGAGCCTCCAGATTAGGAGAGCAGGGAGCCTTCAGATTAGGAGAGCAGGGAGCCTTCAGATTAGGAGAGCAGGGAGCCTCCAGATTAGGAGAGCAGGGAGCCTCCAGATTAGGAGAGCAGGGAGCCTTCAGATTAGGAGAGCAGGGAGCCTTCAGATTAGGAGAGCAGGGAGCCTCCAGATTAGGAGAGCAGGGAGCCTTCAGATTAGGAGAGCAGGGAGCCTTCAGATTAGGAGAGCAGGGAGCCTCCAGATTAGGAGAGCAGGGAGCCTTCAGATTAGGAGAGCAGGGAGCCTCCAGATTAGGAGAGCAGGGAGCCTTCAGATTAGGAGAGCAGGGAGCCTCCAGATTAGGAGAGCAGGGAGCCTTCAGATTAGGAGAGCAGGGAGCCTTCAGATTAGGAGAGCAGGGAGCCTCCAGATTAGGAGAGCAGGGAGCCTCCAGATTAGGAGAGCAGGGAGCCTTCAGATTAGGAGAGCAGGGAGCCTTCAGATTAGGAGAGCAGGGAGCCTCCAGATTAGGAGAGCAGGGAGCCTTCAGATTAGGAGAGCAGGGAGCCTTCAGATTAGGAGAGCAGGGAGCCTCCAGATTAGGAGAGCAGGGAGCCTTCAGATTAGGAGAGCAGGGAGCCTTCAGATTAGGAGAGCAGGGAGCCTTCAGATTAGGAGAGCAGGGAGCCTTCAGATTAGGAGAGCAGGGAGCCTTCAGATTAGGAGAGCAGGGAGCCTTCAGATTAGGAGAGCAGGGAGCCTCCAGATTAGGAGAGCAGGGAGCCTTCAGATTAGGAGAGCAGGGAGCCTTCAGATTAGGAGAGCAGGGAGCCTTCAGATTAGGAGAGCAGGGAGCCTTCAGATTAGGAGAGCAGGGAGCCTCCAGATTAGGAGAGCAGGGAGCCTCCAGATTAGGAGAGCAGGGAGCCTCCAGATTAGGAGAGCAGGGAGCCTCCAGATTAGGAGAGCAGGGAGCCTCCAGATTAGGAGAGCAGGGAGCCTTCAGATTAGGAGAGCAGGGAGCCTCCAGATTAGGAGAGCAGGGAGCCTTCAGATTAGGAGAGCAGGGAGCCTCCAGATTAGGAGAGCAGGGAGCCTTCAGATTAGGAGAGCAGGGAGCCTTCAGATTAGGAGAGCAGGGAGCCTCCAGATTAGGAGAGCAGGGAGCCTTCAGATTAGGAGAGCAGGGAGCCTTCAGATTAGGAGAGCAGGGAGCCTTCAGATTAGGAGAGCAGGGAGCCTTCAGATTAGGAGAGCAGGGAGCCTTCAGATTAGGAGAGCAGGGAGCCTCCAGATTAGGAGAGCAGGGAGCCTTCAGATTAGGAGAGCAGGGAGCCTTCAGATTAGGAGAGCAGGGAGCCTCAGATTAGGAGAGCAGGGAGCCTTCAGATTAGGAGAGCAGGGAGCCTTCAGATTAGGAGAGCAGGGAGCCTTCCAGATTAGGAGAGCAGGGAGCCTCCAGATTAGGAGAGCAGGGAGCCTCCAGATTAGGAGAGCAGGGAGCCTCCAGATTAGGAGAGCAGGGAGCCTCCAGATTAGGAGAGCAGGAGCCTCCAGATTAGGAGAGCAGGGAGCCTCCAGATTAGGAGAGCAGGGAGCCTCCAGATTAGGAGAGCAGGGAGCCTCCAGATTAGGAGAGCAGGGAGCCTCCAGATTAGGAGAGCAGGGAGCCTCCAGATTAGGAGAGCAGGGAGCCTCCAGATTAGGAGAGCAGGGAGCCTCCAGATTAGGAGAGCAGGGAGCCTCCAGATTAGGAGAGCTAGCAGGGAGCCTCCTAATCTGAGAGCGAGCAGGGAGCCTCCTAATCTGAGAGCGAGCAGGGAGCCTCTTAATCTGAGAGCGAGCAGGGAGCCTCTTAATCTGAGAGCGAGCAGGGAGCCTCTTAATCTGAGAGCGAGCAGGGAGCCTCTTAATCTGAGAGCGAGCAGGGAGCCTCTTAATCTGAGAGCGAGCAGGGAGCCTCTTAATCTGAGAGCGAGCAGGGAGCCTCTTAATCTGAGAGCGAGCAGGGAGCCTCTTAATCTGAGAGCGAGCAGGGAGCCTCTTAATCTGAGAGCGAGCAGGGAGCCTCTTAATCTGAGAGCGAGCAGGGAGCCTCTTAATCTGAGAGCGAGCAGGGAGCCTCCTAATCTGAGAGCACGGAGCCTCCTATTGAGTCCCATAGGTGCTTTTTATGGTCTGATCCCCAACAGATTTTTAAGGATTTGTAGACATTTTCAGGAAGTTTACCAGAAAAACAGTTTCTCTTCAAAGGCAGACATGAATAATCGATTCAGTCTCAAGCATCCCAATCATACAGACTGATTCCTTCACTGTTTAGTCATACAGTGCAGGCAGATTCAGTTTAAAATGCACCTTAGTTAAACATTACCAATTCATAGACGTCCATAATTCAATACGCTGACTCTGCAGCAATCCCTTCTAATCATGTATGTGGCAACATTTTATGAGTGTTTCCCTTTTAAAAGACGATAATCTTCAGCAGAGCCTGTAACCGTGAGAGATTCCATGCAACTGTAACATAAAGCCGCTGGTTTATGGGCGCTTTCTGTGTAAACAACCAGGTAAACAGTGTGATCAGCAGCATATAATCTTTATTGTCCCACAGTGGGGTAATTGAGCTGCATCAGCGGAAAGTGGGTGGGGTGAGAACACTGGACCTGTATTATATAGCAGACATGATGCTGAGTAGCGTGAGGTGAAAGTTTACAAGAAGAACACGTATTATAAGAAAAGGGTAGAAATATCCTATTTTAATCACCTACATGAAGGATTTATACATGGAAAATATGTAAAGATCAAGATTTAAAGCCATAATAATCTGAATCAAAAGCAGGAAATAAAAATTTAGAAAAATACTATACTGTAAAGTAAACCCTAAGAAAGTGATGAAAAAGGGGTCCCTATGTCCTCCAGCAGTCTAAGCCTATAGCAGCAGAACTATAGAGATAGCTCAGGATAACCTGAGCCACTCTAACTAGAAGCTTTATCAAAAAGGAAAGTTTTAAGCCTAGCCTTAAAAGTAGACAGGGTGTCTGCCTCACGGACTAAAACTGGTAGTTGGTTCCACAGGAGAGGAGCCTGATAACCAAAAGATCTGCCTCCCATTCTACTTTTAGAAATTCTAGGAACCACTAGTAAACCTGCAGATTGAGAGTGAAGTGCTCTGTTAGGAACATAAGGAACAATCAGATCTCTGATATAAGATGGAGCTTGGCCATTTAAGGATTTATATGTGAGAAGGAGGATTTTAAATCCTGGTTTACAGAGAAGGGAAGATGGGAGAAATATGATCTATTTCTTCTTTAAATTTCATCATTATATACTATATTATTATAAACTGGCCTCACAGGTTTCTTAGGAAAGTCGTGCAGTTCCTGGTTTACCAAATAATTCTGCAGTAATTCAACAGCTTAATGTTTATTTCTAATTACTCTGAAATCAACACGATCAAAAATAATGTTTTATGACTTTCAGGCAAGTAGAGAAATCAACCAAAATTAGGATTGAAAGAATCAGATTAATAGATTATTGAAATGCTTCTAAACTAATTTAGTATTAGAATAATCCTTACCTGGAGTAAACAGACTCTAAAAAAATGTTCAGACTTATTTTGTTTTTCATTTGTCCTTACATAAACGCACATCTTAATATATTTATCTTCACATATAACATTTTTAAATATGGCATCTTAGCAGCTCAAAACAACAATAAACACTTTCTTGGTCTGCAGTCGAGGTGTAACCAAAAACACGCATACAAGAAAACAAACAGTGAAAGGAAACATATATTGATTAAGACGGACAAGTTATTCTTTACGGGTTCCTAAAGATCACTCTAAACTCTTTCAAATAAAGTTAAGCTGTATTTTTTTTCCATGTGATCTACATTAACTTCTTCAAACTTTCCTGCCATTATTCAGTCGTCCACAAAACTGCCAGGACGTCACTGATTAATAATTACAGTATCTACTTAAAGTAAAGCATCCACTGTTAGAACCTCGTATATCAAAAAGACATGCATGAAATCTTTCTCAGATATTAAGCTCAGATTGTGCAGTAAACTTTTACATTTTGTTGCTAAAATGAAAAAGTCATCTTATAAAAACAAAGCTAGTGCAACTTGGTACTCATTTCGATAGAAATGCATCATCTAGATGCCATCTAGTCTTTAGGGTTGAAGTGAAAGAACAACTTGTGTTGCATCTACCTGATCTGGTTCTGCTCTAGGACGCCACCTGCTGGAGCTCACTACCTGGCAGCAGACTTCTCCTCAGCGTTGCAGTTAGTCGACACAGAGCTGGCAGAACGGGCGGACCAGGTCTGGGTCATCGGGGGAAGCTCTCTCTACAAGGTACGGTTCCTGTTCTACTCAGCAGAGGAATATTGGATTAAAGGGAACATTCCTGCCGTTTCATTAAACTGGTTTTATTCTGGATCGCTCAGGAGATGATGGAGAGCCCAGGAACCAGGAGGCTGTTTGTGACCCAAATCCTGCAGCAGTTTGACTGCGACACATTCCTGCCTGAGATTAGTCCAGAAAAATACCGCCTGCTGCCGGAGTGAGTAAAGGCTCATCATGTTGAAGCTTAAATGGAAATAATGGGCAGAGTTTAATGGAATGAGTGTTTTTACTATTAAAATAAGCACTTGAAATAAGACAATGTAATTGTGTTTTTTATTTTTAAGTGTAAATTTTCTTGTTCTATTGGCAAAATGTCTCTTTTACCTCCTCAATCCAAGAACAAATGCACTTATTTTAAGAAAAAAAGATTTATCTAGATTTCGATTTTTTTCCAGTGGAAATCTAGCAACTTATTTCTCCTACTGGAGACTTTGGAGACAACATCTAAAAGCAGCGAACTCTGCTCTCCAGAGCCAGTAGATTGGTAACCCCGCCTCCTGCTCTCCTCTATCTTGTCTGCTGTCATGATTCATGCAGCTATTATTTCATCCAAATGAAAAATGGAGAACAGATAAGCACATCATGGCAAAAAATGGGGGCTTTGTTCAAGTTTTATCATGCTGTTTGGATGCTCTTCTCCACCTTTGTCGTTCATCCTCATCATCATCTTCTACAGGTTTCCAGGAGTCCCAGCAGAGCCTCAGGAGGAGAACGCGATCCAGTACAGATTTGAGGTTTACGAAAGCATTTAAGCTTTGATTGGAGAGCAAACAAGGCGAAGAGATGAGGATCGGGTTCACGGCTGTCTGTGATCCAGTGGAAAACTGTGGAGGCTTTGGATAAACCTCATAGAGAAGAAAACTACAGCAAGGACTACAACACATGGCTGGATGCTGATGTTCAGCTTTGGTGCTTTTCTTTACTGGGGTTAAAAGGCGCAGTTATAGGGGGACCTTCCTTCAAAATGTTGGCAGGGAGACATTTCTGTGCTTCTGTGCAGAGAACATGAATTATTGCTTCTTTGAGGTTCTCTATTCCTGAAAAGAGAGAGTGAAAAGAAATGAATTCATTGTTTTTATTGTTCCTGTTCAGTTTCGGGGCGAACCAGCTGCTGTAGGCAGGATCAGTCCATCTCATTAATTACAACTAAAAATGTCTGATTATACTCCAAAAATAGTTTTACTGTGACTGTTTTATACACTTTGATTAAAGTAAATATAAATCCACATCTTGCTTCTTTCTGTTTCTTTACATTCCAGGTAATAAAAGACATTGAATAAGTAGTTTGGTGGTAAAATCAGCCCAGAAACCTCTGGTCGTCTGCTTCGCCAGGTTTCGGCATTTACAGATGACTCATCCGGGGTTCTCTGTTCTCTTCAGCTCTGGAAATCAGCTGGATCAGAGGCTGAAATGATCAGATTAATAGTGATTCGTCCATTATTGAAATGATTGTCAACTAATTTAGAAATCAATTATTAAATTAATAGACTAAAATATGCCTTAAGCTGACAGAGCAACCCATTTAGAGTGTCTTATAGCAAGATTGTAAATGAATAAATTTTGCGTTTAAGTTGAAAATACTTTTTCATCTGTCAGATCCTTAATCCAGAGCTCCTCAATTGGAAAAGTTTTAGTTCCACCTGCTTTAATTCTATAAGAAACGTCTTTGAGGGACATTTTGCTCTCAGATTATTAATTGATTAACAAAATAATTGTTAGTTGCAGCCCTACAGAGGACCATAGCCAGGAGGATGCCTTAATACAAACTGAAAAAATGGAAGAAAATACATTGAAAAGATGTCTTAATGTTAACCCAGTTTCCTAACAGACCAATGGACACAAGCAATCAGCCGTTTAGTGAAAGTGGTCAAATTATGAGTAGGAAAATGAAACTTGAATATTTTGGACAACATTCATAATAAATTGGTCAAACAGAAATGGGTTATTAGTGAATCGGTTTAACCTGAGTGCAAATGATGCAGTACTGGTGTTTAAAATACTCTTCGACGTTTTCCAGGCCATGGACCCCCAAACTGATGGCGAGATGGAGCGGGGCCCCCTAATTATATATATTGATGAAATTGTTTTATCGAACTGGTCCTATAGTAATTTTGTCCTGTGATTACCGGTATTAAAGTATTTCTGATTCCTGGTTGATGGGACAGGTGTTGTGAATGAAACGGTGTCCAGCTTGAAAGAGCTCCTGTGTGTCGCTGAATGTGAGCATTGATGACTGAAAGACATCTTCTGCCTCCATTTATCAGTTTACTACAGTGTGTTGAATTCATGTTAATGTGGATTTAAAGATATTTTAATTAGAGGAAAAAAAGAAAAGTCAACTCAACCAAAACTTTCCTGTCCGCCCTGCAGTACCTCTGTGGACCCCCTAGGGGTCGCGGACCAAGGGAAAGTATCTCTGATATGCAGCTATTCTGTTAGCATCAGGATCCTTAAAGCTACAGTGTGTAATAATTACAGGGATCTACAGTCAGAAATGTAATATATTATACATAACTATGTTATTTATCATCATCTACGAGCTCAGCCTCTTAACCTTAATGTTTGCGTTGCCTTAGAATTCGTTATTTATAATTACATAGGAGCGGGTCTCGCAGCCATGGAGGCAGACATCTTTGCGCTACGGCAGCGCAGAGCCAACAAACTAGCGATTGCGAGATCGCCCATTACGCTCGAAAGTAACTACGGCAAGTTGAGAGAGATGAACTGAGACGGTACTGAACACACAGACTAATGAAATACTATCTGTAAAATTATCTATGTAAACAAACCTCATCACTTGAGAAGGTAGGTGATGCGGACGTCGTGGAAGACATTTTGTCCCGTAACGCTCGCCGTACTGTTGGGGGGGAGATGTTCATGTTGCTGCCGTCTGCAGTCTGGACGTTAGATGTCACTGAAAATTACACACTGTAGCTTTAAGAAGCAGCTGATGAAGAATGTTCTGGAGATGTTTAAAGCAGAGTTGGTTAATAAAGCAATATCCCACATGTGAGAATGGATGATTAGCAGGAGATGGACGACTGGCAATCGGGATAGGGATGCATAACTGCTGGTTTGGTTAAAGCACACTCATTTGGTTCTGTACTTTGACAAGGCCTAGGATGGCCTAGTCAAAGTACAGAACCAAATCCCTCACACACTGAGACAAAAATCAAATATTGCTCTCCACAGAAACTCCCATGAATTAAACGGCAGCTTCTAGCTGGATTTGCATCAAGGAATAAAACATATCTGCCTTTTAGTTCAAGAAAATAAAACCGTTCACTCTTAATGTAGCAAACACATTTACCCTTTATAGTGAAATACTTTGAAAATCCAAATTTCAAGCCAATAGTGTTATTGGAATCCAGGACAAGACATTATTAGCTTTGTAACATTAAAAAATATGGATATTTTGATGGCAAAAATTAATGTCAATGTAATAAGTTTGTCATTACAACACATTGACTGAATATATTAAGAAAAATAACCAAAGTGCTTCTAAAAGAAATTCATGACATCTGAGATCGAAAGAAACACTTTTTTTTTTGTCCAACATAAGCTTAGAGCAGAGGTCTTCAACAGGGGGTCCGCGACCCCTAGGGGGTCAGTGGAGGTACTGCATGGGGGTCGCGAAAGTCTTGGTTGTTTACTTTTTTTAATATTCCCTCCTGCAATTTTTTGCAGTAATTAAAATCTATTTAAATCCACATTAACATGAATTCAATAAACTGTACTAAACAGATAAATGGAGGCAGAAGATGTCTTTCAGTCATCAATGCACACATTCAGCGACACACAGGAGCTCTTTCAAACCTGGGCACCGTTTCATTCACAACACCTGTCCCATCAACCAGGAATCAGAATCAGAAATACTTTAATAATCCCAGGGAGGAATTACTTTCGTTACATCACTCCATATGTAATAGCGTGACTATAGGACCAGTTTGATATAACACAATTTCATACGATATATATAATTAGGGGGTCCCGCTCCATCTCGCAATCAGTTTGGGGGTCCTTGGCCTCGAAAACGTTGAAGACCCCTGGCTTAGAGGCATTAATGCTGATACTACTTACATTTTTTAGTTTATAAACCTAAATTTAATTGTTAACTAGGCTTATTAACATTTTAACTTAACTTTTCACTTACCGGTAGGTTTTTTACCTTTTTTTTCTTGACTTATTAACTTTTTTACAGCCTAATTTCCAGTAGGTAATATATCATTCAAGGGCTCATCTAATTGGTCAAAATCAGATATACAGCCATGCAGCAGGATCTTTGCTGAATGGCTGGATATAGATCTTGTGCTTCTAGACTTCACTGAGGGACGGGCAGGTTATTAAAAAAAACTAACTTGCCCTATAAAGGGTTAAATGACCTTTTAGATCATTACATGGCTGCCGTCAGCACAGTTACACATGCAGACAAAATATGTGTTGCTCAACAAACTGAAATTTTAACGGATCTGTTGGTGTCTTATTTTAGGATTTTCTTGATTATTTAAGGTGCAGCAATAAAAAGAAATATGTAGCTTATAGGATTAAATCAATTTCTTCATGTTTATTGTTTTTTTTCCTGAAGAATATGAGTAATATGTACAATTCTAAACCAAACTAATTAATCAAAGATACAGTTTTGGTCAAAGTAAAGCCTGCAAACTAATGTATATAGTTCTTAATAACTGAAATAATATTACTGTCAAAATAGACGGTACAAGAATTTTGAAATTTTATGTTATTTAAGTCCCAAAATTTAATGCCTTAATCAAATGTTTGGGAATTTTTCATCACAAATAAAATAAGCAAATGTGCCTTTAGGATTTAAACACATGAAAAAAAAAAATCAACTTTATAACTTTTTAACTCAGAAACTTTCTGATCTTCAGCGAAATCTTTTAGCTACTTTGACTAAAAAAAAAGTAAAAATAAATTTTTTTGTACAAATCAAAATATTTATTGCTGAAACAAAATATGAATATTTGTTCTTTATCGTTTTTTTCTTATAACAAAGTATATTTTCTTCAAATAGGGGAGATGGAGGAATATTTCACCTTTAACCTCCTTAAAGGAGCGTAAAGCCACGCCTCCTCTTGCATGATGCATTACTGATGTTCAACACGTTTCGAAGCCTAGAAGCTGATCCAAAGAAACGTAGCTTTCAGACAGACACCCAGACTTCTTGAATCTTCCTTCAAAATAAATAAATGAACAATTCCATTACGTACTTTTACACTTTAAATAATGTGGGGTGTTTCCCTGCTGTCAGTTTATCAGCAGAATGAGGGAAACCGACCATGCAAGAGTTCATGTTTATGGTAGAAAGGCTGGTAAAGGGCCACAGCAGCGGATGATGCCTACTCAAAAGGTTAGCCCTGCTTAGCATTCACTGCTACTTGTAAACAAGGGACAGCTAGTGCAACAGGAAGAGGAATCATCTGTTATTGTGGTCAAAGTCTCAACATTTGCCGACCTAAATGACCTAACTATGCCTGCATGTCGCCAATCCAGGAAGTAACAGCAGCAAGACGCTTTAAAGTCTGGGAACAGAATGGCTTACATGTTGCAGTCGCTCTTTGTGCAGATGTATGTAGTTTTCACTACTCAGATGTAAAGCATGAGTTAACAGCTATATTCACTGAACCTGGTGGCATCTCATGGACATTAGGCCTCATCTGTTCCTCCGATATGTGAACCCCAGTGGGCCTCAGCAGATGGCCGCTCACACTGAGCCTGGTTCTGCTGGAGGTTTCTTCCTGTTAAAAGGGAGTTTTTTCTCTCCACTGTTGCTACAAGCATGCTTAGTGTGAGGGATTGCTGAAGATGAGCTATCTCTATAGTTATGCTGCTATAGGTTTAGACTTCTGGAGGACATAGGGACCCCTATTTCATAATTCTGCTTCCTTCTGCTTCCTTCTATCTCTATTCTCCTATTCTGCAGAATCTCTAACCTTCTGCTCTCTCTGCTTTTTCTCATAGTAGCTTCATCTGGTCTGTTCCTGTTTGGCTGTGACTCCATCCTGGAGAGAAATATCAGCTGTGCTGCTGCCATAAACACCTTTGTTTGTAGATGCTGGAGATCGGCCTGTTTTCCAGTGTAGTCCTGTTTCTCTGACCGTGACTGGCTGGATGTGCTCTCTTCATCCTCTGACATGGGAGCTGGCTCGGAGCTCGTCTGCCTGGCTGTGTGTTTCCTGGACGGTGCCGTCTTTTACAGTTGCTTTTT